TCTTGGTGATCATTCTTCATGCTCAGGATGATGTGGTGATAGTGTGATGGCCTAGATAGTGTTACGTGCTTTGCATGCCTTCTCGCTTGCAGTTCCCATTGCTAGCTAGCCTGTTGCAAAAAGGTGCAGCTCTGCACAAGCCTCCCTTGCTAGTTCACATATACTCTGTAGCCAAGATTTCTGCAGTGATTCCTCATAGCCACTCATGGAAGCCTTGTTGGGCAAAGTCTATAGGAATCTCACAGGTGGACTGTGAGCCCTGTAGCTTTCCATCCCCTTCTATTTGAGAAAACATGGGTGTTGGTGGCAGAGGTGGTGTCCACACTGAGTGACCGCCCCTGGTTTACCATCAGGTGGGCTGTCTGGGTCGGGGGATTGGAACATTAGCAGAATTATGAAATGCTACTATTGTTGAAAGAAGTAAAGCGAGTGAGAGTTGAGGTGGCTGCTCTCTCTTGGAGGTGAGAAGGGTTGCTACATCTACAACAGGTTGGGTGGCAGCGATGGTCACCATCTCCAGGGAGTAACCAAAGCCATCTCCAGCAGGCTTCAGCCCTCAGTAGTAGAGGTAACTCCAGTCGATGAGCATACAATGGCATTGAGACTAAAGCTTGCATTTGCTTTCATGTCTCTCATTGTTGTGTACGCTCCTACCGTGTTTACAGACGAGATGAAAGATGTGTTCTCTCTCTCTCTATCTTTCTCACTTTGATGGCAGAAAGCTGTCCTTGGCGATATATTCGCATTGTACTGAGTGACTTCAGTATGGTATCCAACTGTGATTGAGCTGGCTACGAGATGTCTGTCGTTCCTCATTGCTTGGGAGCTGATGCAAGAACAGCCTTTTCCAGGAATTTGCAATGCGCCAGAGAGTAAGGATTTCTAAACTCCCTTGTAGGTCCAGTGATCACCCAAGGGTGATTCATGTACACAGGTTGAGGGGGTAGGAGTGTGGACAGGGGTTTGCTGAGGCTATTTCATGTCATTTTATAGTACTCAGAAACCTGACATACCCTTTAAAGTTGTGGGATACCATCAAGTGCGAAACACTTAATGGAAAGGAGGAGTCCATTGGCGACCATAGACAACTTTATCTCACTGTAATCCGCTCTGCATTGTGATTGAGTGTAGTACTTTTGAAAGTTGTTCCAGGTTGATCCTTCAACAAGTAGGTTGATATCTGGTAACTTGGCACCATTCCCCCTAACCTGCTGGGGGTGCGGTCATCCCTCTTTGGACAGGGAAAGGGGATGAATGGGACCAGCAATTCCTAAACCATTAGACTGCTGCCTGTATCAGGGAAGATTTTCACTCTCATCCTTGTGAGACTAATCAGAGATCACCTGCTGAGGCTTCACTCCTAGTAAGTCCATAATTGTCCATATTCTGGCGCTTTGGGTCATTATAGAGTACCATCGTGAGTTTTGGTTGTGGGTTGCTTGCAGCTTACATCAGCCTCAAGAAGACATTAGACACAGTGTAATGTGAATTACTCTAGATCCTGAGATTGAGCGGAATTCCAACAAGGGTTATTGGAATAAAAAGCCTGTATAATGGTACTGTGTTGTGAAGTGTGGGAGGACTGTCTAGCTTCTTTTCCACTAACTCTGGAGTGAAGGAAGGGTGTGTTGTTGCACTAACACTTTTCAACACTTGCATAGACTGGATACTGTGCAGAACTATTATTCATAATCATTGTAGACTAACAATAGACAATATTAAGGTTACCAACCTCGACTTACTGACGATGTTGCCATTCTGAGACTCAGGAAACTCTAATGGTGGCTCTAGATCCAGGTAGCAGTGAATTAGAGGCCTTGGGTCTAGAGGTCTCATGGACCAAGACCAAGATCGAAGAATTTATGGGCCTGCTAGAAGAACCAGTTCAGTCGGTTTGTGCTTGGGACAAGAATCTTAAAGTCACAGAGAGTTTTACATAATTTGGTAGTGTAATTCATGACTCTGGGCTGTCAGACCAGGAAGACAGTAAATGGACTGGCCTTGCAGGAGGGGTCATGAACTTTCTCGATAAGGGTATTTGGAGATACTAACACCTGTGCAGAAGGACCAAGCTGTGCATCTTCAAGGCCTTGATATCGGCAGATTTACTCTATGGTAGTAAAATCCTGTCCCGTGGCTCACCTTGATGTCTGTTGTAACTGGTCCTTGTGCTGGATCATTGGGTACAGTTGGCAGGACCATTATCCAACCAAACAGAGTGTCTGAGATCAATCAGACCTGTTGTGAGGATATATGGGATGGGCTAAGGGCAGCTCGCTACGAGGAACCCTCAAGGTGGAAGCAAAGGATGGATGCGGCTTTAGCTTTACAATGAAAATTATTTTTTTTCAGTTTCGTTAACAGACCATGTAATTCTCTCTAACAAAGCTGCAAAGAAAGCGGTGAGATCTACGATCCTGCCTCTGCCATGATTGCGGAGGTTCATGTTCTCTGGAAGGAAGTTTGGTTTGATCTCATTATTGGCATTCATTCTAATATA